TCAATAACATCAAAAACAACGACAACGAAGATCTGTACCAACCTCGCGTCAGCTTAAGAAGATCAGTTTATAAGATCACATAAATAAATATATCAACTATCTATGCCGAGGTTCATAGAAAGTCGGTCTTTCGAGTTATTCAGATTGAACAAACAATTTGACTGATTTCTTCAAAATTCAAAAAAGAGACCGGTATAGTGACAATGAATGTGTAACGCCATGTTGGCTTTCGTCGACAGCTGACAAGATGTAACAATTCCACGTCAACCTCAAAACGTGCTAAACTGATCAAAATCAGATGGGACCAAGTTAACAAATATTTCCCCTTAGGTTGTTTTCATAACATTTACACGAAGTGAACTGCTGAAGTTCTAGTGAGTCGACTGAAAATTAGATGTAAAAAGCTGGAATAGTAAAATAATTTTGGGGTTAGAAAAAAATTATATGATGGTGTTTACAAGCCTTCGAAAGTAGTGAAAATTCTGCAAGATCACTACAGAAGGTCCACTCAGAGGTTTCAAGCAAGGTGATAGCTATCGTAGTCATGAAGACCAAAGTTCATAGAATAAATATTCACGCAAAGATATAAAATTACTAGAAGGTGCAATTCTTATCGGTTACTCATTAAGCTTTCCGAGAGACCAATGCATACCTTCCACATTTTCCTTGCTTCACCTGGAGATAGTTCAACCTCTAGATTATCGCCCATAGGTGCAGTGATTCCTGTCCTTATTAACACATCACTAACCCATTCCTCCGACTTTCCCATACACGTGTCGATGATTAAAAGACCATCCTAAAAAACAACATTTCGCAGAGTGCCAAATTTGACGACCCAACGAAATTATATCTATAAGGATAATACTAAGCAAATATGTATGGTTCGCATCCTGCGGTTGTCTTGTCACCTGTATCACCTATAGTCCCGTTGATCGTCGAGTGACTCGAGCCGGCGCCAATAAATCTTCCATTCTTCCTTGTCGCGTGCAAGAGTAGCCCAGTGGATTCTGCTCGCTCCAGGGACTCGTCGAGCATACTATCTCTCTTCAAGGCTCTTTGTGAAGAACTCAGACCATCGGGTCGGTGGTCTTCCTGCAGTACGTTTGACATCCCAGGAAAACCATTCACTAACGACTCTTGTCCATCGGCTGTCATTCATACGCATTACGTGTCCGGCCCACCTTATCTTCCACTGTTTGGCGTACAGAATAGCATCTTTGATGTTTAATCGTTGACGCAGATCGGAGCTTCGGATCCCATCCCTTACTTGTGCGGAACGGGATACTCCAAGCATCGTCCTTTCGACTGCGCGTTCGATAACGCTAAGTGACCTCTCATCCTGCTTACGCAGCCACCACGTTTCTGACGCATACGTTAGGGCAGGAAGTACCGCTGAGTCGAAAAGGTGGGCCCGGAGTCGGGTGTTCTTTGTTCTCTTCACTACATCCTCGATGCTCTTGAAAGCTCCCCAAATCGTTTTCTTCCGCTCAGCTCTGGAGCTTGGTCGTTCACCATATTGATTTCCCGAACTAGATAGATATAACTGGAGCATTCGGAGACATTCGTTCCGTTGAGCGTGAATGGGGTATGCGAAGTCAAACTCTTCTTCATGAACATCGTTTTTGTGCGATTTAGTCGAAGACGAATCTTTCCACAGGCTTAGTCAAAGTCGTCAAGCATACGTTCCGCTTAGCTAATGTTTGGTGTTATGAAGACGATGTCATCAGCAAAGCGAAGATGGTGTAACTGCCGAGCACCGATTTTCACTCCCATATTACCCTATTCCAATGTTCACATGACGTTCTCGAGGGTGGCGATGAATACTTTTTGGGGAGACGGTGTCGCCCCGGCTAGTCCATTTTTTGACGTCGATGTTAGTATTGTTGTAGAATGGTGATACCTTGGTCGTGAATTTTTTGTACAGCTCACGAAGAATCTTTATGTACGAAGTAGGGACTCCTTGACTATCAAGAGCTTCCAAGACTGCTTCTACCTCAACTGAATCATAGGCCTTCTGTAAAGTGAGACAGAGAGGTCTTTTGTGCTCTCGCCGTACTTCAATGAGCCGTGTTACCGTGTGGATGTGGTCCATCGTACCAAATCCTCTTCGAAACCCTGCTTGCTCACATGGCTGTCCTTCGTCTAGTGTTCTGTCAATCCTGTTTAGGATGACTCGAGTGAAAAGTTTGTAGACAACAGACAGTAACCAGATTGGGCGATAGTTGCCGATATCGTGCAGGTCACCCTTCTTCGACAATAACACGGTCTTGCTGGTCTTCCAGTGAGTAGAGAACAGACAGGTAACGTGTGAAGAACCGAGCCAGTGTGTTTACGAGGACTGGCCGAAGGTTTTTCAGGTGATCCGGTCTTACTCTGCCCTGACCTGGTGCTGTTCGGTTTTTCACCGACGAAATGGTATGTCGGATTTCAGATGGGAGAAGCGGTGGTACAACATATCCATCCTCCTTTATTTCATATGGCGGAGGATAGACGTGGTCATCGAAGAGATCTGGGCAGTATTCGTGAACGATTTTCTCCACTCTCTTTCTGGACGCTGTAACTGTTCCATCTGGGCGCCGGAGAGCAATCGTTTTGGTCTTGTAATTGGCGATGCTTCGGTGGACTCTGCGAATGCTTTTCCCAGCCTCTGCAACCGGCGATTACACTGCTCTTCTCCCTCCTAGATCTTTAATCCCGCCTACCTTGTTTTGCATGTTCGTACGTTAGTCCATGGTTTCCTGCAGCTCGTGCGATTCCTCGCTGGCGTAGGAGCTCGAGTGTTTCTGGAGACAGACGTCTCTTGATGACATTCAAAGTCTCAGCTTTCAAAGCGCTATCGTGAAGATGTTGAAAGAGCCGATTTTATTCTTTGTCGATGTTATCGACAACGGTATCTTTCCAACAGCCGACTAATGAATTGAATAAGTCTCATTTTGCGATTGTTCTGAGACTTCGGTTTTGTAATTTAGCGGCTTTTCTCCTTTCCGCAAGAAATAGAGTCTTGCACGAAGGAGACGATGGTCTCATCCCGTGTAGAATTTTGGGACAACAGCGACATCGGTTAGGCAAAACCTTCTATTTACTATGATGTGGTCTATTTCGTTATACTGCTCTCCATTGGGAAACTCCCACGTCCAGTGCTGAGGATGGGGCTTCTGGAATTGCGAGTTATCATGGATGGTCTCTGTCGCCATGATGAACTCAGGAAGCCGCTCACCCTTTCCGTTCCATTCTAATCTGTAGGTCGCAATATGAGGTTCTTCTCGGTCCAATCCTGGCGTTAAAATCTCCAATGACTTGAAGAATGTATGGTCTTCTCTATGGAACTTGTCCAAGTCCATGTAGAACGCTTCGACTTCCTCGTCATAGTTTCATGTCGGCGCGTAAAGACCAAGATTGTCAAAACCGGAATTATTTCACTTTTTTTTAATCGTAAACGTCCGATTCGGGTTGTAAGTTGTTCGAATGAATCGATGCTCATGGACAAACCCGTGTTGACGAGAATGCTGACGCCTCCGACTCCTCTACTGTCGCCTGTTCCGAGGAGCAGTTCTTCTCCGGTGTCATAGACGGCGTTGAAAGGCTAGTGTCTTCTCGTCTTGGCCAAGCCAATGACGTCGTACCTTATCTTTCTTGCTTGCATGAGCAAGTCTTCTATCGAGGACTCGGATGCAAGTGTACGTGTGTTGTAGGAACAGATCGTTACCATAGTTCTTTGAAATCAAGGCAGCTTCCATTGGGCCTGAGATTTTAGCAAATTCTCCGTACTCGTCCTACAAAACGCTGCGAAATTGGGGGCTCTTTCGAGGTCGGGGGAATGAGGCCCGTTCTTTTTACTGTGTTTAGCATTTTTTGATAGCCACGTATAGCTTGCTGGGCTCTGAACGTGGGGGCTGGGTATACTCACGGGTAACTTGCCAGGCTCTCCCAGAGTGGACCTGGAGCTTATTTGTTGGAAGCGACTCCTAACCGCCTCCCATATACTTCCCAGTCACTTAATTGCAGGCTTTTGGCGGAATTGACTCGTAGAATACAATCCGCATAAGCGAGAACGCACCCACACACGAATGCATGAATACGCCTGGCATATACAGAAATCATATGCCAAATCGGCACAGCAGAAACAGGGAGTCCATCCCCTGGATCCACCTGCGTCTCAGGGAAGCAAAGGTCGCTTTTGGTCCGCGATTAACACCCTATCCGCCACCTAGAGACACGCCACGTAGCCTCGCGACTAACCAGCTCGAGATACCTCATATCAGGGAGACTCGTGGGCGGTTGTCTTAGTCCACGATTTCCTTCGACGCATTTTTTTCGCTACACTTTCATTTCGCAGACGGTTGCTTTCTTACCAGAAAAAGGTTGTATGTCGCATTCACGGTTCACAAAAAAACTGTTTTTCGGATGCATTCATTAGTCAAGCCACAGATAAGGATACTAAGATGTTTGTCCAGCATAAACACAAGCACATGACCGGCAAGCAGAAACACAACAACTGTTGCTGCCTGCTAACACATATCGAAAAATTTGGCATAAGATGTTATTCTTCTGATTCTTCAGTTCGTATACTAGTAATTTACATGACTCTGAGTTCATTAAAAAACTGCAACGTCACGTGTGGCTTCGGATACTGCTTAAGGATTTTCATTTCATCTTGAATGTTGTAGAACGGTGATCGAGTCTATTCCCCCTGGAGTTCCAAAATAGCCGAGCTGTAGCGTTCTCAATTGGAATGCAGAGAGTAATCTTTTCGCGAACAAGTCCTGTACCAGTTTCTCGACCCCGGATGGATGAGAGGCTTGGTGACCCCAGAGCAGAACTGCACTATGCTCGTGATCACCGACATCACTACCACTTTGCTATCCGCCCAAGAATTCATACTATCCAGCAATAGCACCTAATCAATACATTATTGAAGTTCTTACCTCTTATTACTAACGTTAATCATTAGTTTTCAAGTCACATGTGCTTGATGATAATGCTATTGCATTACTTTTTATACACACTATAAGTAACGAGGTTTAACAACACTGGTTTACAGTCTGAAGTAACTGCAATAAATTTAAAAGACCGATGTGCAGCAACACTTGCACACCACGAAAAGTTCCACTATACAACCCACCGGTGCAGTGCCGAATATAGCACACATAGCAAATTCCGCAGTTCCTTCGTTGTTCTTAAGCGGGCACAACGCATTACTCACTTCTTCGTGTTTGTCCTTAAAAACCTTTATTTGGATAAAATTTGTCGAACGAAATATTCTCAGAAAAACAGTTAGCAAAACGACATATATATATACACATTTTATTTGTATATATATATATGTATATATATATATATATATATACATAGACTGTACTTTACCGCAAAAATTACTAACCTGGTACACATAATATGTTCCGCGGAAACGCCCTAAGAAAGCATTGATTGGAATATTTTTTGGAGAAAATTCTCTCGGAACGTTGAAGAGTTCATGATGTTCGAAGCTATAAATAGCGTTGTAGTCCACACAGACACATCGAACTCTCGTCGGGTGATGCACCTATAAACTCAATGCCAGTCTATTTTACAAAACTATGCTTTGATAAAACAGTAATAACTGAAATCACAGTTTTACTCTCTATTTTCTGCCTACTCTTTTACATGGAAGAGTACCATAAGAAACATAATCATAACCACGCTGAAATATGAGCAAAAATTGCTGTTTGGCTCGATACTCCACATCGTCTTGGTTATAATAAATGAGTCCAACAATTTTCTCTTTAAGAATTAATAAACGAGTGTAGTTTGTATTTCCGCTCACAAAATTGAATGGTTTACACTACTTTATACTAATTCCCAAAAAGCGATGAGTAGGAATAATTCAGAAAACTCATACCAATAACATGACAGAGCAGCTCATGATTATTGAGATTCACAGAAGGCTTGCTTGCCAAACGATATTTATTATGTGACACTATATCGCATTTATCACACTGCGTGGATTCCAGCACTTCTTAGATTCGATTCGTTTGCTCGGATCTACCATACACGAAGGTCTTCGAACTTTTTACGAGTGGTTTTGGATGCCGCCTGAGGTCTTTCCCGTCTTCGTCACGAATGTTGTTGATTGCTCGTCAAGTGGGTTTCCTCTTGAGTCTTGCGATAGGGCGTTCCGGCGTGGATATGAGGAAGTGAGTTCAGTCCAAAAAAGCCTGCGTAATAAACGGGATCACAGTCACTGCGCTATCCGCTTCTTAGCATATAGAACAGTGCATTAAACTTCTACATAGATAAAGTTAACCCAGAACCGTTATACAGCGTCATAAGCATGAAGCACCAAATGGAAACAGTTGCACTCTCGAATGTGCTAGCTGGAGGAAACAAAGAGTGAATGGATAAATAAATAACGAGATATGTAAATATAGGTAGATGTATAGAGAATATATTGCTGTGGTGGATGAGTTATGAACTGAATGTAAAAAGCACAGATTGAACAACTCTGCGCCTTAAAAAACTAGCAGGCAGGAAAAACGAGTCATATAACGTTCGTATAGTCCATACACTGACCATCATTTAGAAATTATTTGTGAATCGTACACGATGTTGTTTCTTAATCGACCCAACATAATAAGCATAACAAACAACAAAATATAGAGAAGTCGTCAAGGTTTACGATTGGCTTTGCAAACAAGAGAAGCTAGAACAAAAAGAAACTTGACAGCACAATACTAACACCAAAAAAACCCAATATAAACACATAATGGAATTTTAACGAAGTAGGAAAGTAAGTAACTACGTACGTCGCTCTCTAAAGCAATAACACGCATATAGATTCTCATTCGCAATCCAACCAGTAGCGCTCCAGGTCTTATTTCAACACGTTCCTTGCAGGATTCTCTTTGCACAGCTGTCCTAAAAAATACATCCACTGAATCTTAAAAAGAATACATAAGTTCATCAAAACGACTCATAACATTTTAATCAAAAACAAAACCAATCCATAAATGTGTCGTTTTCTTTCTCAGCAATCGCGAGGTCTTTATACAGCATATGTTTCACTTCGGTGTAAAAAAAACACATAAAGCACAATAGTAGCAAATGTCTCAGCGGTATCACCTTCTTCAGAGCCTGGAAGGGAATACTGATACGCAATTTACTTCGTCAAACGCTTCAATAACACGAACGGAAAGGTGAAAATAAATGGTATCCACACGATGAATAGTTTCTCAAAAACCCACCGTTTTTACGTGCATTCCACTGTGGAAAAACAGTTTATTGCAGTCGCGCATGGTTGATGAGTGCACCACTCCACATCAAAATTGATGCGAACATACGGGGCGAGATCACGTGTGGTACCTGGGCATTCCTCCCTTATATCCATTCTAGTGTTCTTGGCTTTCATCCAAAATGCCTCAAGAAGTTTACGCGCTGGTGTTTTGGTATCCTGTGCGAGGATAGTGACTTTTATGTTAAAATCGTCTCTGCTACGTCTTTGCTTCTTATGCGTCCCTAGTGGGGTGCTTCGTCTTAGTTTTCGTTTGCCATCTATGTGTTCTTTTATACGGATACACAAAGGTCTGCCCGTTTCGCCAATATATCCATCTCCGCAATTATTACAAAAGATCAGGTATATCGGACCTGAACTCATGCAATCATCGTCCCTGCCATAAGGGCAAATTATACAATTTTGTGTTTCACATAGACGGTTACGAACTAATGACAATGAAGAGCATTCGGTGGTATTTCAATTATTGCTAACGATTCCACTAGATCTATCCTTCTTAATCATCGCTTTACAGCCACATTTCATCGCTAATAAAGAGCAAAATAAGGAATTTGTTTCGACCAAACCATTCGTTTTGGGGTGTCGCTCTCCTTCTAAGCTAATCTCGCGGGGTTACTTTTTCACAGCAATTGCAGATATTTGCCGAACGATGACGTGCGATTCCTCCTTTGGTTCCCTACTTGTGCACACAAAGGTGAACGTTCGAAGCATATTTTTCATAAGCGCTCTTTTATGTGCGAAGAGTGGGAGGACAGGAAATGAAAAAGGGTGCTTTTGTTCCTTGGTTTTCTGTACGAATATATTATATAACCGTTATATGATACGTTATCAGCAATGAAGAAAGTGTAGCTATACGGCGGTGGTTAAAAAGTGCGGTTTTACATGAATCGGTAGATATAATTGAAATACCGCCGGATGCTCTTCGTTAGTTCGTTCGTAACCGCCTATATCACCGACTATGTGAAACATAGAATGCGTAATTTGCTCTTATGGCAGGAATGGTGAATGCATAAGCTCAGGTACGATATACCTCATCTCTTGTAAAACTTGTGCAGATGATTATATTGGCGAAACGGGCAGACGATTACATACTCGCATAAAAGAACACTTAAGTGGCAAATGAAAAAGAGGACAAACCATCCCACTAGAGAGGTGTATAGTACGAAAGCAAAATGGAGGCGATTTTCGTATAAAAGTCACCAACCTCGCACTGGAGACCAAAACAACGGCGCACAAACTTCTTAAGGATTTTTAGATAAATACCAAAAACCCTAGAGTGAATAGCAGAGAGGAATCTCCAGAGAACACACGTGATCTCGTCCGGTATCTTCGCATCAAGTTTTGATGTGGAACGTTGCAATTAACAACCATATGCGGCTCTAATCAGCTGTTCTTCCTCAATGGAAGGCACGTAAAAAACGGTGGGTTTTTTGAGAAACTGTTCATCGTGTGATTGCCATTTAGATTCTCATCTTCTGTTTGTGTTAATGAAGCGTTTGGCGTAGTAGATTGCATATCAATATTCCCTTCCAGGCTTCGAAGAAGGTGATACTGCAGAGACGTCAGTTACTGTTTTGTTGTATGTGTGTTATTGTATGGAAGTAAACGTATGCTGTTTAACAACCCCGCGATTGCTAAGAAAGAAAACGACACGTTTATAATGCAATACCGAGGTTAACAGAAAGTCGATCCTAGAAAACTATCTATATAAAAGATTTACTACGGCTGCATTTATTTTACCTTAATCCGCAACTGATGTTCAAAAGTCTTTCATCGTTTTCGGAACCTTCATTATCACAAAAGATGAAACAACGAGGTGGCAAAAAAGCCATAACAGCACACTAAATAATACACAGTAAAATAGATAAAACACTACAAAAAGTTGTGAAACAGTGTTGTTTCCATTGAGTAGAACTATTGTGGTTCGTGTCGTAAACATATCAAATTTTTATACAGCATTAATGAAACAAACTTATGATCAACGATGACGTCATAACTACCTAATCTCAACCACAAACGAAGTCTCTGAATAAAAAATTCGTTTATTTTCACTGCTACGACAACTGATTTTTTATTCCTAGTCTTCTAGACTACAAACTGATGTTCTTCTCATCGTCAAAACCACGAGAGCTTTGACGTGACCTAATAAAATTTATGTTACTGGAGCGCCGTGATTATACAGCTAAGATAATTCGACAGAATGATCAAAAATAGGAGAACAATGCCTCTTTACTGATACCTAATATACTCCACTTGTGAATGTTCCAATTTTGAACGTGATTATTAGCAACTACAAACTTCAGAAGGAATTTGTTCCAGTCTTCAAATGAACAGCTTAGAAGCATTTGCTGTCGATCAATCCCTTAGAGGGTGTAATGCACTCGACTTGAGCTAGCATCGTACAAGACATGATTTAGCGCACATTGCGTCTATACACTACTTTATGAGTGTCCATCGGATGCTTCATTCCAAGCTGCTAGACAAGTCAACTACCAACCCGTCGATTACGGGAGGATGGAAGCCTTTGTAGGCAAGTCATACAAACTTGTGTGCATTACTGAGCATATCTAACAAATGCGCTCGTTACTCACTTCACAGTGTCTCTATTTCTTCATGAAGTCCGCTAAGCTTAGTAATCATTCTTGCACTTACTGCCCTAGGTTAGGTTGACTACAAAAGCAAGAATGCATCAGCCTTCTACTATTGGTACTACTTACGGCGAATGTAGATGTACTTCGCGTGCAATACGTGAATTTATGAATAAAACACTGAGATTACGACATACCTCACGAATATCCTCCTTATAGCGAGAAAAGACATACTCAGAATCTGTCATCCAAGCAACATCCTCATCGAGAGCACGACGTAACTTACCAGATTTGCCCGTTACATCTACTTCTTCGACATTTACTACACTGGACAATAGATCGACCCGAGCCTCCACCATTTCTGAAATAGGAAATCGCGTCAGAAATGGACTCGCACTTATCCTGCTTAAAGCAAACTCAATAACAAATTTTAAAAAAGGTACATATTATGTTATTCACCAGGCGGTACGATGGAGATACTGAAAAACGCTGGGTTGTAGTCGACCATTTGTTTCTCAAGAACCGATAATTCATCCCAGAGAACATATCCACACTTTTCAAAGCGACGAATGAATAATTCTGGTGCCTTTTTCTGAATCGTATAAGATTTTATGCAGTATAAACAAGTAGGACTATTAGACACATTTGTTCAAAATAACTCTAACACCCTCCCAACGGCTTACCGCCTAATAGTGGCTAGGAGGTGCTCCTGGATGTCGGGCTGCGATGCAGAGCGAGAGAAAATGGGATTCATCCCACCAGCAGGGTCTCCCAAGCTGAGAAGGAGCCTGGCGTTTCCATCACGAAACCCTGATAAGAGTAAACGAATATCGGGGTCCACAACCGTCCTGGTATCAAACTAGTCGCATAGTAGCAAATCTTCCTCTGATCCACAAGGGCGACGACTTTCTGTGGTGTTGATGGGGGGCAGACTTTAGCAAAGCTGACCTCGGGACTGCAGGCAACCACAATGGCTAAACCAGTAAAACACCGAAAAAATGGAAATTTTGCTGGGGTCCGCACAACCAGTGAGGATGGGAAATCCAAATATTCCAAGTATGTAACTCTGACACCATTATATTATTTACCTATACCCAACAGAATACTAACCAATAATGACTCCTTGCACTTTGCACGCAGACCATCCGTATCAATAATGAGGCGAGGATTTCTGGGTTTAGTCAGGACGTTATCAGTGGATCGTTTAGAATGCTTTCTGTGCTGACCGTTTAACGGCACTGGCGATGTGAAAACAACTGGAATCAGTATAAGAAGTTTGGTGCAATAAAAACCCTAACGTGTCCAACCGCAAAAAAAATAATGAGAATACTTGAGAATTGTGGATAACAATAGAGTGAAACATGAAAGGTAGACTCCTTCAAATAAAGGAATGTTACCATTTCGTTGGCGCTTTTAAGCAAGCAGCTTTTATTTTATAGGTTCCAATAGGCTACCTGTAGGGTTTAAAGTGTTTTAACTATGGTATAATCATACATTCACGACATAGATAAAAACCAACAGTCATTACTTTTGGGCCAACATAGAAAGGTGGGAGAATACGATCATCTCCTCAAAACCAGACTGACAAACTTCATTAATATTTCGATGCGCAAAAAATCTATATCTAAAACTAGTCATAAATAATTTCAAAAAACCTACCTAGAGTTTCCCACCGAAAGGTGTCAAATTGTACCAGAAGCTTCTGCTTAAAAAGTGCATAAGGCGGAATTCAAATTAGCTACGCAATAACGCGACCCAAAGAGAAAAATCGGCCTTTCATCTTATCATTTGTTATGATCTATTACAAGGACAACGTCAAAGTGGTTACATTTGATATCCTATGTGTTTCCGAGAAAAATGTCACTATTCTATGGCATTCCGATAGCATAAGGACTTCGAAACTGATGACATGACCTTCAGCACTCGTCTCCGTCTGGATGACCAACCAAAGTGGTGATAAGACCAAATGAACCACATCAATGCAAAGGTGAGCGTCGCAACTCTTTAATTAACACTGACGCTTGAGATCAGTCAAAAACGTCTGTGTTACCGAAACATTTACATGAGAAATACGCATCGCTGTTTCGTCCTCACTCAAGAGCTTCGGAGCGTAACTGCAAGCGAAGATAAGAGCTGTATTTCTGACGTTAAATCTACTCAGAAAAGCAATTCGGTTCCATAAGCTAAAGCACCGTCACAAGAAGTGAAAAACTTCTATTAAAAAAAGGGAGAGGTGAAGGGTTCTCTATGAGCTCATGCCAGCTGGCACCACTGGCAATCGTCTACCATTTGAATTTCCAGAAAATACTCATCAGCATTCAAAAACAGACCATAAACATGAACACGTTACAAAGGTGGTTTAAAGATAACTTCGAAAATTAGTCCAGAATTTACAGGTTATTCGACATAAACTTTGCTCTCTCCGACTATCATTTGTTTTAAACTCTTTACAGTTATTTGCAATGTAAAACAATTGAAACTTTTTCAGAACTTTTCTTTAGTTTTCGTCACATTTCATTCCATGTCATTTACTTAAAGAAACTATTTGATTCTCCAAATATAGAGTTTAAGCACGACTAACCTTCTTGACTGGTGGTAATAGAATTGTTTTGCGTTCGCTCCGGAAATGTCTTCAAACTTGGGTGGTACACCATATTGTTTCCATTTCCGACTCTGAAGTAGACATCACCTCTTATCGACCCTAGAACCAGATCTGTAAAGAGTCTTATTGCCGATCAATCGTTGTCATACAGTTCAAAAAAAGAAAGAAGCACACATACCATCACTACAACTTCCTTTTGCACTTCCAATCTGGTTAGCTTCAATAAATTCCGGTTCTTCATCTTCCTTGCCGTTATATGTCTGTATTATAAGCAGTAGATATTCAGACGATAAATAACCAACGATTCTGAGTAAATAAGAGATGCATTAGGAAAGGAACACATGTACGTCAATAGCTCCACGCCCACATATAGTATCACAGACTTCATTACAAGATATTTCTGCAGATTTTTTTTTGGTTAGACTAGTAAGTGCTAAACAACTTATTTTGTTTGATTAACTGCCACCCAGGATTGTGAAGAAGTCTCCACAGTTAGACAGTTTATAACTAGTCCTTGCAAAAAAACCTAATACGCCCAGAAAAAAACCGAGTTATCATGAATTCAAAATGAAACTTTATATACGAACCGGATGTTTTAGAGAACAAATCTTAGCTCACATGGCAAGTTGACGTAGAAAATTCTTCAATATGTATAAAATATAGGAGCCTTATAAGGTAATACATTCCAGTTCAATCATGGAACGGATAAAGAGATCAGAAATACTTTTGCTAAGAATGTTAGCAAAACCACTCACCACCTGTGGGGAAGTTGACCTCGCATTGGATGGACTGTTCATGCCCTCTGAAATCTCCAATGTAGAAGTTCATAGACAGATTACATTGGCATTACAGCTTTTCGAAACACAAGTCGCACAAAATTACTATAAGGCCAGAGCACTTTCAACATACAACGACCGACGTCCAGCACTAGATTTAATTGCAGACCTACTAACCGTTTGCCATCATTCAAACAACACAGAATATAATAAAAGATGTAGGTTTCCACAGAAGTGAAGGATTGGAGAAGTTGGGAATGTAAGGTAGGTACATGGGATACCTGGATTTTTCAATGTAGTAATACGTAAGTTACTACACACTGTATGTTAGCATGGTCGATCATCCAACCACACCACTGGCTGTGCTTGGTACTCTTTCTCGCAACTAATGTTAATATGTCTCGATACATCTACCCATTCCATACGATAAACATGGTCCACAACAGCCACCGGAAGCGCAATAATAGTTCACTATCGTCATCTATTGTCCTTAGGTCTCCAATTTCTGGTTGCAAAATGCCTTAGGCTTCACAATTAAACTCGTCCCAGAAAGTTTCTTGTAAATTATTGACTGCTACGAATAGTATCTGTTGGCCGACTTCCGGCGAAACATATGTTGGATGAGCTATCGAACGAGTATAGAGATTGTAGCAAAAAATCCCAAAAGTGCGAAATTATCGAGAAGAAGATGCAGTGAAATCAATGCCTACCGTCCACGATGGTTAATACATTCGTCACCATCCGCGTTGTTCTCGATACGTAGGTATAGTGGCACTTCGGATAACACGAATTTACCTCGACATATCTACGCTTCCGATTGATTCTTCTGACATACAAACTTCTTCGACAATTTCGTATTACACCAAAATCTCCACAACAACCGTTTCGCTCTTGATCCAAAAAAGACTTTTTTCTGTTCATTAAAGCTTGCAGGATGTTGATTTTTGGACAACCTTATTCCCCTCTGCGGGTCTCACAACAACTCTTCAGATACTCTACAGACACAATGACATCACTTCTGGCTGCATTGGTCGGAAATGTTACTTACTTGGATACTCGGATACTAGGATGACCCGTCTTCACTGGATGTGCGGGCCCTGCATAATTTCCACTTTCTCGGAGTTTTGCTCGTTTAGTCATTGAGATTCCCTGGAGTCCCGAGGTCAGCTTGACCTCTCCAGGCTCTGAAGAAAGCGAAACCAGCGGAACGTCAGCTATTGTGTGCTAATAAATTCTATAATACCAATCCCGTGTTTGCTCATTGAAGAAAAAACGGTGAATAGCGAAACGAAGTCCGTAGTGTGCAAGTATTATTGGGGAAGACATACAACACAAGGACGACCATCATATACGCCTTTGTTGCTCATGAGGACCAATCCTACTCATGCCCAATCACAAATCTTGTAGTAGGGAACTTTTAGCCGTCATGCATCATCTTACACAGTGCACCAAACCAACGGTGCTCAACGATATAAAGTAGAAGATGAAATTGCCTTGGTATCTTCTGTAGTCTGTTCTCAAGCCAAGCTGTAAAACATATTGGTTCATTCCCCACACACTAAAAGAGCGCTTGTAAGAAACATGTTCCGCACAGCTACCAGCACGTGCACGAAGAATTCTTGAAATTTTTCTAAGCATGAGAACCGCTTTTCTCCATGTTTGCCATCTCTACGGTACAATTTCAATCACTTGATCCTATAGAATGAAAAAAAGCTCTCGACGTTTATCAATCCCTGAGGAATACACCATGCTTTCGACTTCATTAAGTATCGTTGGAGGTGACTGAATGCATATCTGGTTTTTAAAATGACTCGCGGTAGCCTACCGATGTATCGAGCCAGTGCTGCTATTCTCCGAGACAAGTCTGGTACCAATTTGTTCACCCCGGAAGGATGGAACATTTGGTGAGCGATGGGCGCGAGGATCGGTTCCACGTGTGTCGCAGTGGCGCCTTCAACCAATGCGCCACACGCGCCCTTCTTAATCCTATACCACTCTGTAATATGACATATATTTTGTGGTGTTCGTGGATACCTCTAGACAACAAGGGGTCCAATCAATACACTTTCCCAGGACTTCCTGGACAGGAACTGTAAAAATGATGTTCAAATTGCCTTCCAAAGACACAATACAACAAAACTCAGTCCTGGATCAGCAAATCGACTTTCGTTTTCTAAACTGTTATCGTATAGAATGGATGGAAAGAAGAACAAACTATAGAAAAACCACTGCATGCATATGCTGTGTGACTAAAAACTGGGAACACCCTGGTTGGATGGTAGACGAGTCTCTTCCATTTACACAAGGGATAGAGATATCCCAGAATGTACGGAGAACTTCATACACACTAGAGGATATGTAAAAAATTGGAAAATACATGGAGACAACTAAGAAGACACGGACTGGATTGTGGTGCGAAACATAAAGGGAACGGACTGATGTCCGTTTGGGGAGTAAAACATGGCGGATCATGAGTCCTATTGCAAAGCACATGACACATGACGATCGATTCCACCAGCGTACCGTACTGTCTTGTTAGTACAAATTTACTGTAACTTTGTTTACTCACTTGGATACTTGTGCGACCCGTCTTTACTGGATTTTCGGGCCCCAGCACAATATCCAGTTTTCTGGAGTTTTGCTGGTTTAATCACTGTGGTTCTTCGGCGTCCTGAAGTCAGCCTGGCCAGTCTGCTCCAGGTCGTCACCACCCCTGGCAGTTGCCGCCGTTGTGGATCAGAGGGAGGTTTGCCACCATGCGACTAGTTTCGTGCCAGGACGGTGGTGGATCCTCGTACTGGTTTACTCTCAGCTGGGCTTCCTGACGGGAACACCGGACTCCTTCTAAGCTTGGGAGACCCTGCTGGGAAGACCTTGCTGGGGTGGATGAAGACCTCCCTGTACATCGCAGTCCGACACCCAGGAACACCTGCCGGCTCAATGAGACGGTACACCGTTGAGAAGAACCTTGTTCCTTTGTTAGATCTAATAAATGACTATCAAAGGAACTACCTAATTTCCACAAGTTTTATTCCTCATTACTAATACATATGGTCCTATACATGAAATCAATCGTAGAGAAAATTAAAGGGATGCCTCGTTGGGGCAATTGGTCCAAATTTAGCGATAACTGTATCCGCCATTACTAATACCCAAAGGTCAGAATCAAACAGATCATATGGGGACCAAGAGCTATGAAAAACGTAGTAACGTTGCCTGGTAAACGTCTCCGCTATGCCACCGACATACAATTTTCACAAGAAAAGTACGAAAGTTTTATGCTGCAATGGCATGTACATTATATACAGTGAAGAGAGGTAGGCTATTATGAACGGACATTCCGATAGGTAAGATACAGATATAAGCCAAAGAATCTATATCTGTGTTAGTATCTGTACAGGTGAGATAGCTCCTTAAAACAAGGACGTATTAGAATAATACATGAAAGGTAAATTTAACTTCCGAGGTCAGATTGATCGAAAAACGTGGAACTAATTCGAAATCTTTTATTAAAGGATGCAGTCCTATTCGCCACAGAGCATGTTTTTTTTACCAAGCAAAAGATTCACAAAACAGCGATCCAGATTACAAAGTGCGATATTTTCCGTTCCTAGCTCTGGTTCTACAGTAGTAATATTCCAAGCAGTACCATGATAATGAAGAATTACTAAACAGCCCATGAGTTATCATAAATAATGCACAATTTTCTGAAGTTTAAGAGATAAATGTCAATAGCCCTGAGTCATCTTTTATAAATGAACTTTAACCTGAACACGGTTATCGAAGTAGTGGTGGACTAGAAATAAGTAAATGTGACTATTACGTTTCCTAATGATCAACAAATACATGGGTAAATGAGAGTCCTCTATAAGAAACAAAGTTCCTGGAAAATGCTACCAAGAAGTTTTAAAACGAATGCAATTTCACGAAGAAGAAAGATCTGAACTAGATTACGGACTACGATTCGGCAAAATTTTTACAGATATACGTTCTGAGACATCGAATGGAAGGTATCAGAAGCCGTTTTGGCGGAATTACTGACGGCATCTACTATACCATGAACGAAATGCATGCAGAATCCCAAGAGGAACGATAGATTTTCGTGTACGTTCTCCACCAACTCCTGAATACAATAACCGATCTAAACAAAACAGTTATAGGGTACATACAGAAACTACGTCGGATCAATACAGAATATCCCATAGCTCCAGCTTAACTAGGTTAGATGTCTATTCGAGTTCCCCAGATCAGCCTCGTTGACGGATGATTGCTGATAGCACTTATAGGTCAACAACACGGCTGAGAGAAAGGCGAAACGAAGGGTTTTATTGGAGTGGTGGTCAACGCGATAGCCCCCGGAACGGGTGATAGCGCATTCTCGATACCCACCGCAGACACCAGTGGTCCGAGTTTTGCAAATATCTCAGCATCATTATGGTTATGTGGAATTAATCTGAATGAAACTGCCCCACTTTGGGAAGAATGCATGGAACAAATCGGGAAATCTAAATTGGCAACTGTTTCGCAATTTATCCGGTGGATGCTTACGATCTCCTACGATGTGTATGCAAACTTTTCTTTTTTCATCATTATTTCAAGCTTTCTTGTACTTTAGAAAACCTCAGCATATCACTCTTAGCACCCCACGAACGATCAAGTTTGGGTTCCTTCTTCATTTTTTTATACTACCCGTCTTTACACTTAATGTGTGGATCCCAACACCTCGCATTTGATTCGTTTCCTCGCATCCATCATCCACAACGGTCCTAAAACACTGTGTAGCCTCGGCTGCTACTTGAAGACCCTCTCTTCATCATGATTGTTGTTGAATGCTGGTCCAGTCGATTCTACCTGGAGCCCTGAGATAGACGGGACAGAGCATTTCCTTTTGAATTACAGAGAAGTTTTCCTAGAGAAGGGGGTACCAATTTCATGACTTCTGCGAGATGAAAGGCTTGGTGAATCTGAAGCTTTGGGTTGCTTTACGTATGCTAACCACGCAAATAGCTGAACGAATCAGC